AATCACCAATTAACCTCAACATGTTTCTGACTGTGGGAGGAAGCCGGAGAACCCGGAGAGAACCCATGCTGCACGGGGAGAACATGGAGACTCCACACAGAAAGATTTCCACCGGGACGCGAACCGGCAACCGTGCTACCAACTGCGCCACCCTGCAGCCCCTAGTATTATAATGTTCTAGAGTATTCTAATAAACTGAGAATATCTGATGCTGCTGTTCTCTACTCAGTCGTGGTTGAAACCAAAGAGCTCCATGAGGTTGTTATTGGGGTTCATCACTGAGAGAGAGCTGCACATTGTTCAAGGTTCAAAATTCAAAATATCCCTGCAGGGACATTTTTGTGCAGCCAGCGATGAGACAGTCACTGCCACAATCACACAGGCAGCAACAACAATAAACAACAGAGAAAAGACAAGACCCATCACTTATTTAACAAGGAAATAGCAGCAAGGACAAAAGAACATTTACATCTATTGGTCCTGCACTTTGGAAGGACATACCTGCGCCCCAGCAGAAGTAACTGGAACCAGAGGGCCAAGGGATGGCTCTGATCTGTGGTGATTAAACGGGCCTTGGCTAATAACCTGGCTTGATGTAGGGCTGACAAGTTATTTAGGTTAGTCCCTGCTATTTTTCCGCACAGTCTAACAATACCTTGTAGTCTACACATTGTGGCTGCTCACAAGATGAGCAAAAGCTATAAAGTCATATCCAACTGTTTTCAAGCGCCAGCGGCCACAGTGCAAAACATCATCAGAAAGTACAAGGAGTTCCACTCCATGGAAAACGGTGTGGCAGGAAGCAAAAGTGACCTAAAAGTAGCAAAAAATGATATTGAGATCAAGAAGGATCATCACAAAGACCATCCTGATTAAACTAGCCAGTTCTGATACCAACATCTCAAACAGACATTTCTGCAGAACAAGGCTGGTCTCCATGGACACCAACCACAGAGGACTCCACTTCTCCAAAACAGGGATGCAAATGCTCATCTGGAGAGTTTTTGCGAGTCATATTTGTGGTCAGAGAAGATTTTTAAAACTTGAGTTGTTTAGATGCAGGGTGAGGGCTTTTTGGAAAAAGAAAACAGAAGCATTTAACTCTACGAACACCGTCCACACAGCCAAACATGGCGTTTCTCAGCGGACAGGCCACAAAACGTTGTCAGAACGAACAGAATCGTGAGAAAACAGGTCAACATCAGGCTGCCAACAAGACAATGATCTGAAATATACAGAGGGCACAAGAAATGGTTAACAAAAACAATACGAACATGTTGGAGAGTCCAGACCTGAATCACACTGAGAATCTGTGGAAGGGACTGAAAACAAGAAAGCTTTCTGTTGAAGTAAAGTCTTCTTCCCTTTGGTACCCCACCAAAAACAGATGAAGCTTTATAATCTCTATTTGAACAGATAATAACCAAAGCAAGTCTGCAGAATGACTCCCACACAATGTTGCACAAGGTTATCTCCTATGCACACGTATGTATAAACTTGTGTTAAATTGGAACCTTGTCTTTTATTATATATTAGAAACTGCATGACTCTGTCAGAATCTCACATTAGAAAGTCTGACTGTGTGCATGACCTTTGAGAACAGAAAGCATCCAACACAGTGGCATTTCTAGTGTTGCTCTGAATACTTGCGAGTGTGCCACTTATCTGGTTAGAACTCCGGTCTTCCAGTGAGGAGGGACTCACACTATGACCTACATGAAATACATGGCGTTACCATGGTAATGAGTGACAATAAAACACTACACATCCTCCCATGTCTGAACTGTGTATCTCTCTTCCACCTTTACAACCGTATCATAAGCTGGATGGACATGTTGTGCTCGTGTAAGTGGTGCAGTGATTGTGCAATCCAGTCAGGCTTGTTTTGTCCAGCTGAAATGCACTCTGGGCTTCCAAAGAAGCAAGGTCAGCTCGACATTTATTTGAAAGCCAAAGCTTTGGCAGCATTGATGAGGACTACCGGGAAATGATCCCCATAGACTCCCCAGGAGGAGGTGGTGATGTTTACTGGCTAAAAAAAAAGCAGAGCAACAACAAATGCAGTCAGTGATGCGACATCTTTATTCAAATAAATAGACCAAACAGAAGCAGCATCCAAACTCAACATTGACATTAAAAATTAAAAACATTACACTCACAAAGCTTATTGCTGGCAAGCCTTTAAAACAGTAAAATCGAATGTCATTTAAATAACACAAAGAACACAGCAAAGAGGTTCAGTCAGTAAACGAGGGTTCAGTTCAATTAGAAGCATCTCAGAACTCACGACATGTAATCAGTATCTTGTAGCCTCCTCGCTCTTATGGCATCGCTGTAAGACATGATCTCATGGCAGAGGGAAGTGGACAATATAATTTAGAACGAATAATTTAATTTGCTCACAACCATGTGCACCATTGGCCCTATAAGCACAATCAGAAGCTATTTAGCCCTGTAGATGTGCTTCTGATGCATCCATACTTGTGCTTCCTCTCACACCTGTAGGCCAGCTCATTTGGATCAGATCAGACAGAGATATGAACCAGTGTTCCCCTTTAGTTTACTGGTCTGGTCAAATCTGTCTTTGGAGCTTTCACGCTGGCTTCCTGCCACAGTCCAGAAACATGCTGAGGTTAACTGGTGATTCTAAATTGTCTGTAGGTGTGAATGTGAGTGTGTTTGGTTGTCTGTCTGTCTCTAAGTGTAGCCCTGTGATAGACTGGTGTGATGGCAAAATACTGCATCTGCATGAAGAATGTCAAAGCAAGTTTCATTAAGTTTCATTACAGCTGAGTGGAAAGGTTACAGGCCCAATGAGAGGAAATGTGTTTTCATAACATCTGGGTAAAAGATTAGTGACCGTACAGGAGGAAGAAGAAGTTGTTCATGTCAAGACGATTATAGGAAACACAGCCTTGTTGCATCCAATGTGTTTAGTCTTCTAATGTCTGTGGATGAGTGCACCCTGGACCCCCAGCTGTTGTTTTCCAGCATAAGATTGTTATAGTACCGTTGTAGCGAAGGCCACGCCTGTACATGTATAAGAATACCAGGCTGCCTGCACTCATGTGGACTCTCCTGCAGACTGCTTGCACTCTGTATGACCTGTACCTTCAAAGCTTTGAATAAAACAAAACAAAGACAACTCAGACGTCTGGACCTTATTAAGATCATAGAAAATTTCCACAACACTGGTGACCTGGTGGCCATCAACTGCAAATCAAAGCAAGCCACTGGCTGCTGCTCCTGTAACCCCAGAACCCAGGGCTGCGACTCTTTGTGCTCACATTTACTGTAATTTAATATAGCCAAATATCCAATAAATCTCTTCTCACTTACATATTTTCAGTGTCTGCTGTCTGACAGTGGAACAGATATGAGACGGTGACTGAAACACAGCCCATCAAGACACTCAGACAACCCTCTGCTCTTCAATGCTCAACTTCTGATTTTATAACAGCGACACTACCTGACAAACTCACCTTAAATAAGTTAAAAACAATGGCTGTGCTATAAATATGGCTGTGTTTACATGTAAAATGATTATTTGTACAATAAATTAAAAGCGGCAAAAACATTTAGTCTCAACATTCATTGACACCTGCGACAGCTGCCGCGCTGCCACCAGCGCTGGGATCACTTCAAACCACAAAGTGCCTCATTTTTAATGAAGAGTGCAGCAATCCTGCCTACACTGAGCATAATGAACCATAACAGTTTGTTTCCTTGCCTGGTGAATGCCCACATCTTTCACACTCCATACCCACTCCTAAACTGTCAAAGTCCATTAACCAATCTCACAACTAGTTAGCCGACTTTAACCTGTAAAAGCAGCAAAGTGCCTGTTGACGGTTAGAGAAAATGGTCTTGGTTAATTTTTTTTTTTAAACTCCAACCTATGAACTGTTTTCCAGTGTGCAGTTCATGTGCTTCAGAAATCCACCCCCACCCTGTCTGTTCACTCCACACAAGGTTAACAGTTAATATAATTCTCTATTGCTAATTAAGTGCTTAATCTTTTGTATGTTTCAACCAGAAAACATTGGCATCATTTCCGAGAATCCACAACGGAGCATCTCTGAAATCCTCTGACTATGGCTTCAGCTTCACATCTTGAGGAAACATTCTTTGGCGTTGCTCCACACTTGTATTCCCTGCAGGGAGAGAGGAGAAATCAAACCACTTAGGACTGTGTCTGCTGCAGGTTACCTGTGAAGTCCAGCGAGCTGATGTGCTCCTCTGTACCTTCTTGCACATGCTGATCTGCATGACAGCGTAGTTGATGAGTGCTTCCCGTAGATCTTTGTCTTTCTGCTCCTTGAATCGCTGCATGTCCACCCATGCCCTTTCAACATGCTCTCTGAGGGCACACACACACACACACACATAATGACCAAAGACAGCATGTTTGACTCAGCAAGGGACAGAAAACGTTCAAGGCTGCTTTCACACACAAATGTGTCGGCATTACGCAGCGTCCACAACTCACTCGCACTCCACGGTTTTCTCCTTGACAGTCTCTTCCCCCTCTGTGATCAGCTCCTCCAGTAGCTTCAGCTTGGCCTCCCTCTGCTCGGGTGCTTCTTGTCCAAAAAGCTTGTTGGTCATGCCTTTGAAAGAGAATGTCCGTACTATCTGAGGAGGAGAGGAGCAGAACACACCACACTGAGAAGGTGTTTCCAAGATGCAGATCTCCCCTTAAAGGTCTTACTTCAGTTTGACAAGTGTTCAGCTGTGATTCTTTAATGCCTCTGGCTGTGTGATGTCGTTGTGGGATTTTAAACTGAACAAATGACAAACAACTGGTGTGGAGGCAGAAAAACTGTAAGACCAATGTGAGAAAACTGTAAGACCAATGTAAGATTGATGAGTCAGTTCTCAGTTGACAAGATTAATGAATCTGCTCTCAGCTGTAAAATGAGCCTGTCCACAGCTGTGTTTACAAAAGGCTGCATTCAGATCTAACTAAAAGGTTTTGTGTCCCCAGAGATTGGTGATAGATCAAATTAAAGGACTGTACATGACATCGATCCTACAATGAGACAGCCTCAAGATGACTAAAAGGTTTTTAAGATAATAAAGATGTATTTTTAAAAAATAAGCGCTGATCATCAGCAAACCTACCGGTGGCAAATGACCATCCCAATACATCAACCGGACATTAAAAGCCAACTGTGTGATAAGAATCTGCCTCCATTAGAAATCCTCCGTGGGAAAGAGAAATAAAGGAAAAGGGGGATGGGATGATACTCACCCATTCTGCTATAAAAAGGGGACCTATTTTGACACCTTTTCAGTCTTTCTAGAGGGCTCAGTTTGTGACAGTGTTCTGCTTTGCTGAATACTTGAATAAACTTACACTCTGTGCATTATATCCTTGGCCAAGGCTGATTCTTCTGAGTCATTGTGACATAACCTATATAAACCTTTGCTAACAATTTTGTGTGATCCCAGACACCTCTGCATCAAGCTGTCAAGGAGGACCTTTGACCCCGTCACTGGAAAACATGATGTTTCAATGATGATTAAGTTAGACTCAAGTACTAGATGGAAAAATAGTAAGACTGAAAGCAACATACAAAACACAGCAGCTAGGACAGAAAAGACTGTCCGACACTAGAGCCTGTAAGTCCTACGTGCTTGTGCTAAAATGCAAACCTGAGCTGAATTTGAAGATGAGAGGTAGATGTTTAGAGCATCGAGTGGAAACAACAAAGGAATGGATATTTAAACTGTCATAATTAATGTCCATAAGCAATACGACTAGCAGAATTATTTATTTGGGGACAGCTCTAATGTAAATACAGCAGGTCTCACAACACAGCTGCTCTCATTAACCGATATTTTAGTTCATTTTGTCACTGATAAAACAGGGTTTATCTGCAGCACACCACCTTGGTAGCGGCTGCTGGTTAACACAGCAGCCTGTATTTCACACTAACTCTGATCTGACAACAGAAACAGAAGACCACAACATAAAAACGGTAAATGTGGATGCCTTGAACCAGTGTGTGTGACCACAGAGAGCAGGATGGGGAAAAAAAGGAGTAACAAATAAAAAGGAGCATTAAAAACTCACAGTTGGTCAAATGTTAGTTGATACAAGTATTAGAAGTGAATGTCACGTTTCAAGGACAGGATCTGGATGGAAAAATGAACCCATGTGTTTTGTTGACTGTGTCGAGCAGCCACAACAGAGCTGGAGCACGGCACCGATAACTGTGAAGGTTGTGGGTAAGAGTCAAGAGATAGGGAAGAGTAAAGGAATGCATGTGTAACATCAGTATAGAGTACCCCTGTAGCAAGTTCCTCACGTTGCTGCTTCTTAGAGATGAGGTCCTGGGAGGCCATCTCAAGCTCAAACTGGGCCAGCTCATGCTTCCTGCACACTGCCCTGCCAAGACAACAGAGCATCGTTAGTTCCTTCTGTTCAGCCACCGGCATCACGAAGGGTCGACACAAAGCGAACACACATGAAGACTTCCGTGTTCATCACTCTCTCATGCAAATCTGCTGATATCTGAGTGACATGGACTTTTTAATGGCGTCTTTAATGACTGATCAGCCTTGGTGTCACTAAGCCTTTCCCTTGTGAATCCACACAGATATACATGAACCTATGACGACATGAGAACTACTTCTATCCAGTAAGTTTGAGCTGTCAGCAGCTAGCGGGGAGGACAGGGCTCTCAGCCACAGTGGGCTGGATCAAACACTTCAGGAGGGATTCCCAGGAGGGCAATTTTTTTCTCAAAATTAGCTGTTGAAAGACTAGAGACAGTGTTTCCCATTACAGAGGACCAGTGCAACAGACTTTGACAGTTAATGTTGTATGATGGATTTGATGTTTCTGAAATCTTGCAGGCAGTGAGTATTCAAGACTTGTGAGTCTTCTAAGTGCTGAGTTATCCCAGTTTAACCTGCAGGAGTGTCTGACGGCTCCTGTGATGTGTTTTCTCCTCTATGGAGGAACTAAACGCCTGATGAATGAAAACAAGTTCATAGAATCTCCTAGGGCTACACGGTTAAAATTAAAATAACGATTATTCTTAACGATAATGTAATAGCATTCATTCATGTTAGGGGCAAAATATTTGTGTTTCATTTTGACATTTAGCTTCTACTTTCATGCTGCGCTACATTCCTGCTAATATACAAGTTAGCAGGAATGTCACTCAGCCTCAAGCTTAAATTAAAGTTCTCCTTCACCTGAATTCAGTGCATCCTCTTGACGCAAAACATAAATAAAAATGTTCCCAAGATGTCTCATTTGCTGAACATGTGCTTATTTATTGACAGTACAATTTGCTGACGTTCCCTAAACGCCTCCTGTGTAGACGCTGGCTACGCAGCTGTCCACACAAAGCCTCTCGTCTCTGTACAGTTACAGCAGCGCAGCAGCTCAGACAGATGCGTGACCAAAAACTACTTTTAAAAGAGTAAAAGAAGGCATTGTAATGTCAGAATCCAACAATCTGAAACCAAGGAGCTTTTTCTACATGGGCTGTTTTCTGTCACGATAACATTTTACATGCTTAGATTACAGTTCATCTTGTTCGTTTAATTGTGGGAAGCCAAAGTCATGACAGATATTCAATTTGCCATCTGTACTGCAGAAATAAAGCAGCGGTTGTCATAGCTAAAGCGGTCAAAATGACTGACAAGCTTGAAGAAAGTCTTACAAATAAATGATTGTGAGCCTGTGTTTTCTTTTTCATGATTCACTTCTTTGATAAAAAAGCCTTCAACGATGAGGCCCCTCCTCTACCTGGATAAACAGCATCTCATGGAAACTTTGCCAACAGCACTGTCAGGAAATCGGGTTTTTTTTGGGCCTGTGTTTATGTTCTCCTCCAGGCGTCCACCAGAGGACATCCTGGAGGAACTCTGCTCCTCTGTGACTAATTCCCTGCAGGTGTGTGGTCGACACACCTGCAGTTGATCTGGCTCGTCACTCGGTGTATAAGACGACTTGTCACTGTTCAGTCTGTGCCTGAGTGTGAACCATCATGATCACTTCATGCCTTCCTCCCGAGTGTTTCCATCCAAGTTTTCCCCCGAGCTTCCCTCCGTGCCTCCCTCTGTGCTTCACTGTGACTGCCTGGACCATCAGTTCACAACCGGTAACACCCCCGCTTTGTTTTTCAGCCTCATCTTTGCATGTTCATTTTCTGCAATAAACCTCATTTGTCTAATTTCACAAGCAAGCACAAAAAAAGTCCATCCATCCATCATCTCTACACCTTAATCCTCACCAGGGTCATGGGGGGCTGGAGTCTATCCCTGCTGACTCAGGGTGAAGGCAGGTTCACCTGGACAGGTAACCAGTCTATCACAGGGCTACACTTAGAGACAGACAACC